TTACTTTGCTTTAGATTCACTTCTGCAGGTTTAAACAGCTCAAAAAAGATCCCCCTTCTTCCCCTGCTACCGAAGGGGGGGTTCAGCGATTTTAAATGATGAAAGTTGATCCTTTAAAAGTGATTTTTAAGGCTCTAGTTTGCGTTGTCTTTGCTTTGTTCTGACTACGAGGAAACGGAAGGGTGACTTCCTGTTTAAACCTTCCCGTTTCAGTACCAAATTAGGGTTAATTTTTAAGTCCAAATTCCTTTTATTTCGCCAGTTCTTATTTGAAGTCCAAATATTCAATGTTCCAGTACTCACGGTTGGTTGCTTTAAATGCCAAATTGTCCCAGGAAAAGGCAGCGCTCTCCGGCAACGACTATGCGGCTTCGCTCCGCAGAAAAAGCAATTGACTCACAGCACCGCGCCACTTCCCCCTCTTCACTTTGGAGCCCGTTTGTGGGTTCCTTTGTGGGTTGGGGGGGCGCTAAGGGTGCCCGCGGAGTCCCACGGTCACAGGCTTCATCCGCCTGTGATTTCCAGAAGGGTCCCCGCTATGCCGCAGCAGAAAAGACCCGTTTCATGCGGAGCTAGTCCCTCCAATTCAGAGGGAGTCTGCCATTGCCGGTGGCGCCACCCCGGAAGTCCTCCTATAATGTTTTTGCTTTTAACTATTCATTAGCAGCCTATATTGAGCCTGGTTATCTGAGGTCATCATTAAACCCTTTAAAAGCTGGTGTGATACCAGCCTGTAGTTTGTCATGTTCCTTGGAAGCCTTCTTGGTGCCTTCAAAAAAATACGTATGAGGTTAAATTGTGTAGTGGGCATTTGGGCATATATGTCCCACACCCTGTCCCTGTGCCCACTAGCTGTATACTTCTGTTCCAGATCTTTTCAGTAGCTGAACATGCTTACCATTCTCACTGCAATCGGGAATGTCAATTGTGCAAAATTCTGGATTGTGGCGCGAAATCTTCAGCTTAAGGTGGTTAGAATCCTCCTCCTGATCTTTGTGCTAGCTTTGCAGAAGCTCCTCTTTACTAGTTTTTTTTAACATATCATTTTCAACAGTGATTAAACATACTTTTATATCTTATTCAAATTTTTGACTTCCATCAATCCTGTCTGAAAAATTTCCAATCTAATCTCTCAGTATGCTTTTCTTATCTTCCCTATTACATTTCAAACTCATGACCAATATCTCTATCTTTTTCTACTTTGTAACACTTTGTATATTTCTCCTTACAAAACTTCTTGTAGTCCTACTAGCGTAATTTGTTGATTACAGTCGCTCTTCAAATAATTCATATACTTCTTCCAATCTTCTGTAAATCTCTGGTCCCGCAGGTTTCAAATCCTTCCTGTCATTTTGTCCAATTCTGCATAGTCCATTAATTTCGTCTGCCATTCTTCTTTCATCGGAATTTCTTCTTGTTTCCATTTCTGGGCTAACAATACTCTTGCCGCAGTTGTTGCATATAAAAACAATTTAACATCTTTCCTATTAATGTTCTGACCTATAACACCAAGTAAAAATGCTTCTGGTTTTTTAAAAAATGTATATTTCAACATCTTTTTCATCTCATTATATATCATTTCCCAGAAGTTGTTTACTTTTTTACATTCCCCTCTTTCCTTCTTTAAGCCCACATACATTCTTCTGAATTCCTGAAGAGGGCTGTTGTTGCTAGATATTGTTATAGATTTATAGAGGGACCCTTCCAACCCCTAGAAATTAATAAATGGTAGGATTTGATTATTTGGGATGTGAAGGGAGAAATACAAGCTGCAGAGGAAATCCTGAGCTAGCCAATGCAAAAAAACACATGACCTGGCCAAGTTAGGGGCATTAAGAAACAATACAGGGCCATTGAGAGCCATTGGCATTGCAAGACAATTGTCCTTCACCCTAGACCTGAGGTGTAAACAGAGACTGGGTGGTTTGGAAGGCTGCCAGGATAACTGGTTGTGAGGTGGCAGGAAAAGAGGGGTTTTAGCAGGGTGTTCCGGGAAGAAGGAGGAGGAACAAAAACAGGGATTCATCTTGGGCAGGCTGGCTGAAGGTTGGTTGCACTGCTGTGGGGGAGAAGCCCCTCTTGAAATGACCATGCTGTAAAGATCAGATTTGGACTCCCTCCATGAAAATGGGAGGTGTAAATAGGTGAATAAACCATATTTCTTAAAACTATGACAGTCTCTGCCGTATCTCAGTTCTCCAAAGGAACACAGATACTAGGTAACTGCCTGGAACCCCCAAGAATCTTGCAGAGAGTAGGGGTGGTACAGACTTTTGCAACAATATGAATGAATGAATGAATGAATGAATGATTATAGCAGACCCTCCCAGGGTTCCCTTTTTCCTGGAACAGTCCTGGATTTACAGAAGCCATCCCAGTTTCTGACTTGATCCCAGAATGTCCCGCTTTTCCTTTGTTGTTGTTGTTTAGTCGTTTAGTCATGTCCGACTCTTCGTGACCCCCATGGACCAGAGCATGCCAGGCACTCCTGTCTTCCAGTTACTCCCGCAGTTTGGTCCAACTCATGCTGGTAGCTTCGAGAACACTGTCCAACCATCTCGTCCTCTGTCGTCCCCTTCTCCTTGTGCCCTTCATCTTTCCCAACATCAGGGTCTTTTCCAGGGAGTCTTCTCTTCTCATGAGGTGGCCAAAGTATTGGAGCCTCAGTTCAGGATCTGAGCACTCAGGGCTGATTTCCTTCAGAATGGAGAGGTTTGATCTTCTTGCAGTCCATGGGAGTCTCAAGAGTCTCCTCCAGCACCATAATTCAAAAGCATCAATTCTTTGGCGATCAGCCTTCTTTGTGGTCCAGCTCTCACTTCCATACATCACTACTGGGAAAACCATAGCTTTAACTATACGGACCGCTTTTCCTTAGGACCTCCCTATTTTCAAGAGAGAAATGTTGGAGGGTATGAAACAGCTGTGGAAAGATGCTTAAAAGCCAAGGAGGTTGGTTGCTTTTTACCTCCCAACACTTCATTTTTGCACCAGTGTGGTGTAGTGGTTAAGAGCGGTAGTCTTGTAATCTGGGGAACTGGGTTCGCGTCTCCGCTCCTCCACATGCAGCTGCTGGGTGACCTTGGGCCAGTCACACTTCTTTGAAGTCTCTCAGCCCCACTCACCTCACAGAGTGTTTGTTGTGGGGGAGGAAGGGAAAGGAGAATGTTAGCCGCTTTGAGACTCCTGAAGGGGAGTGAAAGGCGGGATATCAAATCCAAACTCTTCTTCTTCTTCTTCATATGCTACCATGCTCTGAAACCCTAGTGCAATCCCAATTGATTGATTGATTGATTGAAACAATGCCCTTGTCCTTTTGACTTCTCAGCAACACATCACCAAGAGGGATTTCAAAATAATCGCCTCTCACGTTAATAGTGGACTTTGGAAAACAATCTGGGGTTGTCAATCTGCATAAGATGCTATAAGAAACTGTACGTAGAAGGTAAATTATGTTTCCGACACTAGAAATGTATTACAATTAAAAATGAAAGGAAAAGGAAATGATCTTTCCAAAGAGTCCTATTCTTGCATCCTAACGGGGCAATTTATTTCATTCTTAAACAATTTCATGCAAGGCTTGCACAGTTCCAAGAAAAGATTTATTATAATCAGAAAGGGCGGGGGAGTCCTGTTCCTCACAGCAACAAAAAGGGATTTTATTGCCTCTGTCCCATTGTATTCTCATTAACCACTCTTTAAAAGCAATTAATGAAGCCACCAGGTTTCCCCCTCTCTTTTTCGTCAGTGGTGTCTGTGGGTGGAGTCTCCGGCTGTTATCTGAACAGCTGATCTTTCCCACCAAAAACTCTGGTGCCAGGGTGTCCGATAACTCACTGGCTGCTGGAAATGTGCTTCAGAACAAACACATTGAATTACCCAGAGGATATTTACAATTGCTGACCCAACTCCCAATTTCCGCATTTTAAGCCCCTTTCAAGACAATGCAAGTTAAGGCACCGGTCTCTCCCCCCCCCCCCGAGATTGTACTCTCAAGAAAACGGATTACAGACCCGAGAATGAGAAAGAAAAAAGAAGAAGAAAAGAAATTGGTGCCTTTAGCTTTGTGTGATAGGAAAGTGAAGTTGAAAAGAAAGTGAGAATTTTTTCCTCAAGGGCTCCTCTCCTCTTTTGGCCTTGTGTTTGTTTGTTTTTACAATGATATCATTGGTCAGTTTGACGGAGGGCCTCCCCTCCTTAAACATCCTGCATAGCCAGCTGACAACAAATTGTGCACCACGCCCTGAAAGCTGGGCCTGGGATATGCCTTCCTTTGCAAGTTAGAAAGCCTTTTAAACATGTATTTATTTAAGCACAATTCTGTGTGTCAAATACAGGAGTTTGCATGCACTGAAAAGCTGAAAGGTAACCATGTATAGAAACAGAATAAAAAAGTCCATGGATTGCCAAGCCTTAACATGGTGGGACTGACCCCCGGGTGGGAGATATTTCTTGACGCTCCTGGACAGAAATGCAAAAGGCAGGCTGGGGGCCTGAGACACTTAATTCGTTCACCTTTCGCTTTTCTTAAGAAATCCCGACAACCTGGCAAAGAAATGCTCTTGTGCGAACTGCTTGTGTGACGTCGGAAAGAAATGAAGTATCCGGCCTCTTCGTGATTATCTCCCTCCTCCAACTTCTCCATTAATCTAGCATAGTTCGAAAAACCTCACTTTCACCTCATTCATTTCCCCGAGCGAGGAGCGTCCATCAGTCACATGGCAGATGACATCATCACTCATGCTCCCTCCCCAAGTTCTCCTTCCAATGCATTGCATTCATTTAGACTTACTTCTGAGCAAGCAAATAACTTTGCGCTGTTAGCAATGTTGTTGTACTTTTATCATATTTTTGTTGTGAGCCACTGTGAATTTTTGATATTTTTTTTTTGAAGCAAAGCCAAAACATGTGTGCTTTAGATCAGGGGTTGGCAATCTCAATCTCTCTCTCTCTCTCTCTCTCTCTCTCTCTCTCTCTCTCTCTCTGGTCTCAAAGGCTTCATTTGAGTAGCTTAGCTGGTAGAGCACAAGAATCTTAATCTCAGGTTGTGGGTTTGAGGCTCGCGTTGGACAAAAGATTCCTGCATTGCAGGCGGTTGGACTAGAGGACCCTTCACGGTACCTTTCCGAGGCGGCAATTCTATGATTCTATGGTTTACCCTTGGTCAACTCTCCAGGGCCCACCTTTCAGTGGTGAGTGTATTCTCCCCATATGCAGGGACGCGGGTGGCACTGTGGTCAAAACCACTGAGCCTCTTGGGCTTGCCAATCAGAAGGTAGGTGGTTCAAATCCCCATGACGGGGTGAGCTCCCGTTGCTCTGTCCCAGCTCCTGCCTGCCAACCTAGCACTTCGAAAGCACACCAGTGCAAGTACCTCGGGTTAAGAACTTAATTCATTCTGGAGGTCCGTTCTTAACCTGAAACTGTTCTTAACCTGAGGCACCACTTTAGCTAATGGAGCCTCGCGCTGCCACCGCACGATTTCTGTTCTCATCCTGAAGCAAAGTTCTTAACCCGAGGTACTATTTCTGGGTCAGCAGAGTGTGTAACCTGAAGCGTCTGTAACCTGAGATACCACTGTAGTGTGATGATGACGATTAATAATTTATTATTTATTATTTATGCCCCGCCCATCTGGCTGGGTTTCCCCAGCCACTCTGGGCGGTTCCCAACAGAATATTAAAAAGACGATAAAACACCAAACATTAAAAACTTCCCTAAACAAGGCTGCCTTCACGTGTCTTCTAAAAGTCAGATAGTTGTTTATGTCTTTGACATCCGAAGGTCCTCTGCCTGGTTCCCTGTAGCTTCACTTCTTGCAGTGAGGGAACTGCCAAAACATAGGCCCTCGGAGCTGGACCTCAGTGTCCGGGCTGGATGATGTGGGTGGAGACTCTCCTTCAGGTATATTGGGCCAAGAAAGCAAGCACCACAGAGTTTGAATTGTGCACCAACACTTTGAATTGTGCTCAGAAACGTAATGGGAGCCAACATTAAACATTTTTAAAAACTTCCATATACAGGGCTGCCTTCAGATGTCTTCTAAAAGTCAGATAGTTGTTTATGTCCTTGACATCTGATGGAAGGGCGTTCCACAGGGAAGGCGCCACTACCGAGAAGGCCTTCCGCCTGGTTAGAGAACATTTCTTCACACACGACGCAAGAAGAACACGATGGTGTAATATGGATGTAAATTGTGTCTTCAGAGAGACATCCAGCCAAGTTGCTTCAGGCAGTTGTGCCAGAAGTGGTGGGTGAGCCTCTGGGACTGTTGGCACATAGAATCATAGAATCATAGAGTTTGAAGAGACCACAAGGGCCATCGAGTCCAACCCCCTGCCAAGCAGGAAACACCATCAAAGCACTCCTGACATATGGTTGTCAAGCCTCTGCTTAAAGACCTCCAAAGAAGGAGACTCCACCACACTCCTTGGCAGCAAATTCCACTGTCGAACAGCTCTTACTGTCAGGAAGTTCTTCCTAATGTTTAGGGGGAATCTTCTTTCTTGTAGTTTGGATCCATTGCTCCGTGTCCGCTTCTCTGGAGCAGCAGAAAACAACCTTTCTCCCTCCTCTATGTGACATCCTTTTATATATTTGAACATGGCTATCATATCACCCCTTAACCTCCTCTTCTCCAGGCTAAACATGCCCAGCTCCCCTAGCCGTTCCTCATAAGGCATCGTTTCCAGGCCTTTGACCATTTTGGTTGCCCTCCTCTGGACACGTTCCAGTTTGTCAGTGTCCTTCTTGAACTGTGGTGCCCAGAACTGGACACAGTACTCCAGGTGAGGTCTGACCAGAGCAGAATACAGTGGCACTATTACTTCCCTTGATCTAGATGCTATACTCCTATTGATGCAGCCCAGAATTGCATTGGCTTTTTTAGCTGCTGCGTCACACTGTTGGCTCATGTCAAGTTTGTGGTCAACCAAGACTCCTAGATCCTTTTCACATGTACTGCTCTCAAGCCAGGTGTCACCCCTCTTGTATTTGTGCCTCTCCTTTTTTTTGCCCAAGTGCAATACTTTACATTTCTCCCTGTTAAAATTCATCTTGTTTGTTTTTGCCCAGTTCTCTAATCTGTCAAGGTCGTTTTGAAGTGTGATCCTGTCCTCTGGGGTGTTAGCCACCCTCCCAGTTTGGTGTCATCTGCAAATTTGATCAGGATGCCCTTGAGTCCATCATCCAAGTCGTTGATAAAGATGTTGAATAAGACCGGGCCCAAGACAGAACCCTGTGGCACCCCACTAGTCACTCTTCTCCAGGATGAAGAGGAACCATGCTATGATCCATTTACAGGGTGCTTTGAGAAGTCAGTCACTCAGCAGTGTAGTGCTTTGGATCCTGCGGTCATTGCAGTTCCAGCTGAGGTGTTCAATGCGATGCAATGCTCTGGGGGATCATTTTCAGTTCATACAGCCTGATGAGTTAAGGCTATGTCCTGGGTTAAGGCTATGGTCTTCTCTACGGCCACCCATAGCTATTGTGATGGGTTCTTCTTGCACAAATACCTTTCAAAGTGGCTTGTGCAGGAAGCACTCTTTAAAAAATAAATTACATTATTTATGCTTTTCAGGTTTATACGTTTCACTAATTTTACAATCATCTTCACATTTCAAAACTCATAATGTTTATTAAAAATCCTTCATTTTCGATTTAAGACTATTGAACAAACATATTACAACAATTGAAGGGTGTACATTAATGAAATTTTGAATAGTATTAAGTGCACATAGAATGTAAACATGACAAATGCGTAAATATAAAGAAAATATAGAGAAACAAATTTGTTTAGAGTTAAAGTATTAAGGTTAAAAGAAATAAGGTATGTATTATGTATTATGTATTATAATGGTGAAATTTGGAAAATCTGTAAAACCAATAAAGATCACAAAAAAAATAATAATTCAAAACTTGACTTCCTTCCCCCTTTTTCTCTGGTTCCTTAAATCTATTTTTAATATCTTCTGCACATCCAAATTGACTTAATTTGCTCATTTATTCATCTACTTTAAATATAAAGTGTTATAAAACTGCAGGTTATACAATAATCCTGCCAATGTTCTTATCTGTTTACAATTTATCTGAAAATATTCAATAAACCATTTCCATTCTTTTATAAGAAAAGTTTGTTATCTTGATTTCTTATTCTTCCGGTAAGTTTCACCATTTCTGCATATTCTGTTAAGTTTTTGTATCCATTCTTCCTTAACTGGGACTTCTGCTTCTTTCCAATTTGGGGCAAATAGCATTCTTGCTGCTGTAGTAGCATACAAGAATAAGTTTCTATACAGTTCTGGTAGTTCTGTCCCTATACTTCCCTCCAAAAAGCCTCTCTCTTTCTTTTTTTTACAAACATTATTTTAAACATCCTTTTCAATTCTTTATATATCTTTTCGCAGCATTCTTGTGTCCCATGCCCGTTCCCTCGCTCTGAACGCAAATGTTTCGTACACGTGACTCACAATGTCTTGGGTTCCTACCTCGGTTTTGGAGCCATTCCAACGAAATCAGAAGCAACTTCCCTTTCCCACTCCTTCAGCTGAGGTGCCCTGATCAGATCCTGCCAACTATAAATTGGAAGCTATTGGGAAGCCAAGGATTGTTTCCATCTTCCAAGTTGGTTCAGCACCTCAAAGTAATAACTCACTGCTTAAATCAGTAATGACTTCCAGCATTAGAAACCTCTCCCCAAAGCCCACACAAACTTTTCCTCTTAGGTTATCCAGAGATCAAGTTCTTAATGTGGAAAATCTTCATATATATATATATATGTCTGTACCAGGTCTTGTTATACAAAGCATTGCCTTTTCTTATCAAATTGTGCATTTGCTTCAATGAATTGCCTTACTTCGGCATAGAACAAGGGTGGTCCCTTAGGCCTCTCTTGACATTCACCACAGAAGCAAGGTCTTCTGGGTAGTTGCTCCACCAAAATCCTGCGGTGCAGCTAGGTAATTTTTGACCTTGGACTTAATGACTTTGCGAAGGAGGCTCTTTAGACAGACATGTGCATTCCTTCAGTTAACAACCACACAGTTACTGTTTCTCTTCTCCCACTCGCTGTCATTCTGTGCTCTGCAACTGCTTCCGAGTCCCTGATATATTAGAGAAACAAACGAATAAAAACAGTTTGCCAACCCTTGATTTATTCATTCCTAAAAGAAGGAAACTTTCTGAGCGTGTGAAGTTTCACTTTTTAAAATTCCCTTACTCTACATTTCTACGAAATCACGGCACCGTCATGGCTGCAGAGGAATAAGATGGAGTTTGCTTCTGATGGCTGACGCTAAACACATTAAGGGCGCGTCTACACTTCCACTTGTCCCACTGCTACCCCCCCCCGGGGGGAACCTCTTTGTTGTTGTTTAGTCGTTTAGTCGTGTCCGACTCTTCGTGACCCCGTGGAGCAGAGCACGCCAGGCACTCCTGTCTTCCACTGCTTCCTGCAGTTTGGTCAAACTCATGTTCGTAGCTTCAAGAACACTTCCAACCATCTCGTCCTCTGTCGCCCCCTTCTCCTTGTGCCCTCCATCTTTCCCAACATCAGGGTCTTTTCCAGGGAGTCTTCTCTTCTCATGAGGTGGCCAAAGTATTGGAGCCTCAGCTTCATGATCTGTCCTTCCAGTGAGCACTCAGGGCTGAGGAAAACCACTATTTACCACTGAATTGGAGCAGATGTCAATCAGGTTTTCCACAGATGGAGATTGGTCCAATTCAGCAGTAAAGAGGAGGGGCAACCCCTACATCTCTCCACCCTAAATATGATCCCCAATACACTTTCACAGCAGTGTAATGACTTCTTATGCTGGGAGGCAACTGTGCACTGATTTAAATGTGTGCCTTACCATTACAAAGTTCCTCCTCCTGATATTTAGCCAAAATCTGCTTTCCTATAATTTCCACCCACCCATCTTATCCCTCCTGTGGAACAGCAGAGAACAAGTTTGCTTCGCCTTCTGCGATGCACAGCCCTTCAGATATCTGAAGACAGCTGCCATGTCTTAACTGTCTCTTCTATAGGCTGAACACACTAATCATCGTGATGAACCATAAATGTATATCTAAC